GGGGGACTTCGCTGCCTTAGACAATAAAGTTCTATCAGACATGTTTGGCTATTTTGAGTTACTAAGACCAAAGATAGTACAGCCTACGTAGGATGTAGTATCTTTGCTAAGACCATGAGGTCAGAAAGATTATTCATTCGGAGCCGTTATCAAGATATTCAAAGAACTACATTGGAGGTCGTAAAACCTCTACTAAAACATAACGAACAAGAGCTTTACATGTTGTGAAACTCAACATTTTGAACGTCAAATGTCTCAAAACTACGAGTAGGTAGGCCTACTGAGCAGAGAGACCTTTGCAATTCTGGGGTATCAACTTGTATAGGTCGTACTTCTTTACTTTCCCTCTGTTGTTTCTGTCTGTCTTGTCATGCTTTTTCCCAGCACTAAACTACCATTATTGTGCCGATTTGCTTCTCTCTACTCGAACAACTTACTTACTACTCGTTACGCCATCTTGCGTTTAGGGCAGCAACAAAAGATCTCCAGCTCCGTCTGTCTTGGGCCATCTTGGTCAACGTCCCCTGGAACTGGAACTATTCGCGGGGGACGTTATTCAAACAAACAAACAAACAAACAAATCAGACAAACAGAGATACCCCCACTCAAGAGTCTATCTCTTAATATTAACTTTTCCGTGTAAAGTAATGAGCCTTATCATTACACCAAAGACGTCTATAAAAGATATTACGTGCATTAATTTTGTTCTCTGTTCATCATGTCAATATGTAGGCCTATAACCTGTGATTTGTTGTTGTTTTTCCTCTATCTCAGGTCTTAAAGAGTTTCCCAGAGTGCATTCAAGCAGACGTGTGTCTTCATCTCAACAGAAACCTGTTACAAAATTGTCCAGCTTTCAAGAGTAGGTTTTTTTGTGGATTCATCAAGGATATCTTTTCTGTTCTTAGTTCTTTGTATGTCCTTTGACTTTAGAAATGTTGTGTTTGATTTTTGTTTATATTGTTTAGTTCATGAACCTGTCTTAGTGTGTACTGGTTTGTTTATGTGAGTGTGTGTGTGTGTGTGTGTGTGCGTGTTTATACGTGTGTGTGATTTTATACGTGTGTGTGTGTGTGTGTATGTGTGTGTGTGTGTGAGAGAGAGAGAGAGAGAGAAGAGAGCAACAGAGGGGGAGAGAGAGAGAGAGAGAGATAGAGAGAGAAAGACATAAGGAGAGAGAGAGTGTGAAAGTGTTTGTGTGTTTGTTCAGGCATTTTTATTTGGGAGAGAGTGAGGTTTTTATGCCACATTTTAAACAAGTTGATGTGTAAAATTCTTGAGCAGCATTAGTCTAGAGTCTAGAGTACCATAGGGCAAATGAGCTTGAGATTTTGTTCTTGCGTGGTGACTGAGCTCCCTGAGCTATGGATTTTCCATTGCACGTTCTTATAATAGCAGAAAAATAGTTTCGTGTGGTAGGTTTAAGCAAGAGAAAAATACTGTCTCCTCACAAAAAAAGTAGAGAAGCAAAAAAAGTACTTATATTTGACGTGGCATTTTGTATTATAATTAATCTGATTAGAATGACAGTCGATTCTGTTTTTTGGTGGGTTCTTTTTAACAGTTTCCTAATTGTGTTCTTTGTCGTGTTCATAGTTGTAAAGCTTGGTCTATGTTTGTATTCATTTTTATAGGGTGTTTTAATTATTTTGTTGTAATGAGTTCATTATTTTGGTGCAAAGGAAAGAGTTCTTTTCTATTAATTTGTTTATTTGTTTGGGGTTTGTTTGAGTTTATTTTTGGTTTTTTGGTTTGTTTGGGGGTTTTTGGGGTGGGGGGATGTTGTTTTGTATTTAGAATTTTGATCAGAACTGGACAATACAGAATTTTCTGAAGATTGGTCGAATTTGAGAAAGAAAAGAGATGAATAGATGAGGTGGCTAGGCAGGAAGGAAGGCAGACAGACAAACAGACAGATAGTGAGATAGAAAAAAGAGGGAGGAGTCATTGTTCTGGTCTCAAAAAAAGAAATGAAGGGGTATAGACAAAGCAAATCGTACAGTCATTGTATAAAGTTTAGTTTCCTGAAGAAAAGAAATGTTTAGGATACTTTAAAACATTTTCTTTACACTGGGTGCTGTAGTGTTGTCACTGTTAAACATATTTAAGAGATTTAACCCCATAAGTCAGTGTCCACTTGTCGTCGTCCATTATTCTTAGTGACCCCCGTAACTGTCGTGAGTTGTCTTCGTCCTTTCGTAGTGATTACCTTTGTCAGTTTTGTGAGCTGTATATAAGCATGAGAACATGTGAACAGAGTATGTACTAGTTGTTAAGTATTAACCCTATCCGTACGCCCTGGGGTCATTTTGTGCCCCCGGGGTTGTATTCTGCACATTTTAGAATACTTTTAGTGCGAAGATCTCTTTGAAACTTTCAGTATTTGTTGTTGAATTTTATACAATTGCTCATGATGCTGAATATCTCCTTCCGACAGGTGCCAGTCCGGGCTGCCTCCGGACTTTGTCCATGAAGTTCAAAACCACACACGTCCCCCCGGGAGACACGCTGGTACACAGAGGGGATGTCCTCACAGCTCTCTACTTCATCTCCAGGGGATCCATAGAGATACTTAAGGATGACATTGTTGTAGCTATTTTAGGTGAGTTTATTAATTGAGAACTAGCAGTTTTTTAAGTGTAATTTTAACTGATGATATCAGTTTTTCATGAGTAATTTCAATAGCAGATATCAGTTTACAAGTGTAATTTAAATAGAAGATATTCTTTTTCCAAGTGTAATTTTAATTGAAGATAGAAAATATCAGTTTTTCAAGTATAATTTCAATAGATGACAGAAGATATCATATCAGTTTTGCAGGTGTATTTTCAATAGAAGATTTTAATTTTTCAAGCCATCAATGTTAGAAGACACTTAATCAAGTGCTATATCATTTTATATCATTAGAATAAAATAAAAATGTACCACCTCATCGTTTCAGTAGTGTAACAGGTCTCCTGCGTGTTCAATATAAATTGTTGTTCACACCTGGCATTCGGACTGACATAATAAAAAATGCATTTTATCTGTATGCGTTTCTTGCCTACATGTGTTGGTTTTTACCAAGTTATTGATTATCTCTTTCTCACCTAAATGACATCCTGTTAACAGCTGAATGACAGTGGAAATGTGTTTGCTTGGCTCTATTGTTTTGGAAATGGTAGAGGATACTGAAGCAAAATGCTTCACGTTTATAATGATAATAATATTTGTATTTATAGTGCATTTCCTTGCTCTAGAGCATGCTCTATGCACTTAACAACTATCATGTCACTATCATTTGTATGATGGTATGGGGGATGGTTTTCTAAAAACTGCATAACAAAAGAGAGTAAAGTACTAATAAAGTCACGTTGTATGTCACTGTGTTCATGAGGTTTACATGTCACAAACTGTTCATTTTTATGTAAATCTCTTGTTTTACTGGGGGGGGGGGGAGGAGGGAGGGATGAGGGAGCATCTGTTTTTACAAAGAAATGGGTTTGAGGAAGCTGATGTGTGAAAAATAACAGAAAGCACCTTGTGTGGGTGCGGGTCATTGTATGTATGCATGATGTGTGCGTGCATGTGTGTGTATGTGTGTGTGTGTGTGTGTGCGTGTGTATGTATGTGTGTGTGTGTGTAGAAGGGTAGGAGGGTGGGAAGGGGAGAGAGAGAGAGAGAGAGAGAGAGAGAGAGAGAGAGAGAGAGAGAGAGAGATTTCTCTGTGATAACAGGGCCTACAGAGATAAGACAAACTCTTTTTTTTTAAGTCTCGTCATTGTCCATTAATTCTCTGTAAGTTTTGGAGCCATGCCAGCAATACAGGTGAACATTGCTGTTTGTATTTTGTCGAGACTCTCTGATAAAAATGAAAAAGCACTTAATGCTCCTTTTGTAGACTTTTCTCTGGTTGAATGATTATAATCCATTCGTTCTCCACATATCAAGATGTCTACCCTTGTTAAATACCAAATTTTGTGAAGTTATTTTGTGTATATTTTTTGAACAGGCAAAGATGATGTCTTTGGAGAGAATATCTGTAAGCATGAAACTGTGGGCAAGTCTAGCTGCAACGTGAGGGCTCTCACCTACTGTGATCTCCACAAGATTCACCGCAACGATCTACTGGAGATTCTGGACATGTACCCAGAATTTGCGGAAGAGTTTAGGAAAAATTTGGAGGTCACCTTTGACCTGAGAGACGTAAGTACTGTTTATTATAAAGAGCTCAACCTCCTTCAGGATTAAATTTCTTGATTTCTAGTTCCACATTATTGTGATGTGACTTTTAAGAAAAAATGTTGGAAACTTAATGGAGAAAAGAATGAGAGAGACAGAAGAGGAAATAAGGAAGATAAAGGGGGGAGTGAGAAAGGATGGAAGATATTACACAATAAGATAAGACAAGATAAGATAAGATAAGATAATACATACAGTATTGTCCCAGAGGGTTATTGTGATGATTTAATCCCTGAGCCTTACACGGATCGTGCATCTGAACTTTTGGAATGACTGTAAGCTTTGCATGGTGGTGTGCTGAGGGGTAGGTGTGGTGCAAGGAAAGGTTCTGGTAGATTCCACTCAAGCATGCTCTCATAAGTATGGGGTTGATTTTCTCATAATTGTATTGGTTCCTTTTCCTTCTGCAGGGATAAAAATAAAATAAATAGAATAAAGTACACTTTTATTTGTCCAGAAAGAGCACTATACAATGGCAAACATACATTTACATACATAAATACATTATTATAAATAATGCATACATAAATACATGCATAAATACATACATAAATACATATAAATACAGAACAGTTTACAACCATGCCACTGTTGGTCGCCACTGAACAGCGCCCTGATGTTCAGTATAGGGGCTTTTGAGATTAACTTGTTTGAAAAATCATGTTTGTTTTTTTTTATGGAATACAGAATCAGTGTGTTGGATAGCATCAGTTTAATTGTGAATGTGTTGTAACAAACTCATTACAATTGTTATAAGAAGAATGTGCACAGCTTGTTCCTTTTATCTAAAAATTTGTCATGTATTTAACATAATACCTAAGCACAGTCTTACAAGTTCTTTCTTTTTTGGGGGGTATTATTCTTGTAAGAGTTTTACGGCACTTGCAACACAATAGATTGGAAGTGTTACAAGAGAGTAACAAGTACAAAAAAGAAGGATGGGAGATAAAGTCAATAGATGTTTGATAGAAAAGAAGAAGCAGCAGAAACAGTAGAAGCAGCAAACCACACCAGAGCACCCACCAACCACCCAGGAACAACATTCACTAGTAGACACACACACCAATGTTCACTAGTAAACACACAATAGCAACAAGATTCACTGGCAGACTCAAAGGGACAAGCACAAGTTCTCATCTATACTACAAAATATGACCTAACATAAGCGCTGGATTTTATCTTTTTGTTATGTTAAGGCCATCATATAAATTATAGTAAAACACTGTGAAGGGGAAGCTAATAACACAATGTTTGATTCTTGACTCCCATCAGGAGCACTGTATGGTCAGGGTTCCTGATGATGAAATGAGCTCCAGAAGAAACTCCCGCTTCCGTCGGTCCATCAAGTCGGCTCCTTACCTGGGACAGTTCAACTCCGACTCCCAAGGTAGGAACATAGACAACATCCATGCCATTTCATTACTTTGTTTTTAGCTCTTACTTTTGTTTTTAATGTACTTTTTTTGCATTTTGTGTTTTTAATTTAAAAAAGCATGCATAGCCGTCAGTCAAAGATGATGGAGCTTTCATTATTGACAGTAGACAACATGTGAGCTATAATTTATTTTGTTTTTTTGCACATGGTAGCATGGTGCATTTTTTATTTTACTTTTACATCAGTTTGGCTGTGAGCATGTTGTAACAAACTCGTTACAAATATAAAAAGTATTTATGTGCACAGCTTGTTCCTATTTGGCTAAAAAATGTTAATGTATTCAAGCGTAGTAGCTAAGCACAGTCTTACAAGTTCTCATCCTATACTTACACAGCTAATCAGCACAATTACATTATAACCAAGAACAGCTGTTTTCACTCTCACGTTTGAAGTTTGCCCTAAAAGCATGTTGCTGAGGAGGATTGTAAACAATAAACAAGCAAACAAAACTCATATTATTCTAAACATATGAAGAAAATCTGTAGAATAACTTTATTAATAACTAAACAATCATGATTAGCCTATATGCTGACTGTCTATGGTTTTTACCAGTATTGTTTCTTGTTAGAAATAGCTTCATTCGGATTGATACTGTAACAACAAAATAGAGACTAACAATATTTGAGAGAAATATGATAATGTTACTGAAGCATGAATTACTTTTAGAATGCTAGATTGAAAGGGATTGAAAACCAAAGTGAATGTCTATTTTGATACAGTCGTTGAATAATGGGTGGATTTTATTGAGGGTGGTGAGCAGTAATTTTATAATTGTGCTTTGTTCCAAGTAATTGTGAGGGAAAACGTATAGAAATAATGTTTACGACCAGTATGTATGGCCATTTATGTAGTTGTGTTTGTATCTGTAAAAATGAGAGAGAGAGAGCAAGATTAGAATGTAATTGTGCATGTTCCTGTACAGGTTTAACATGTGTATGGCATATAGCCTTAAGGTGGGTTTTTTAAAGAAACCATGTCTTCTGAGAAAAGGGATGAGAAGCAGGGAAAAGCAGAGGAAGTTTATTTTTAGAGAAGTTCAATATAATAAGACATTCAGACAGGAGAAGAATATTGAAGAACCATCTTTGAATAAGAGAACAAATTCAATTCAAGGATGCATCAAAAATATTATGGACTTTCTTTTTTTTATAGCAATTTAACTTTGATTCAAAGCATGTTTGTTGTATACTTGTAGTATTTATTTTTCTTATGTTGCTTGCAGGATATTGAGGTAGTGTTTGGCCGAAAAGTAATTAGTATGCTTATGAGAGTTTAGATTTCCTTTCAATTTTATGACAGCTAAATGAAAATGTAATTGAACTTATTATCAGCTTGCTATAAAAAGAATGTCGCTTTCATGACTGTCAAAATTAGGTTGTTGGGAAATTTGCTGTTGTTATGGAAAGAGGAAAGAAAACTTAATTTTTTTTTGAAAGCTTAAATAGCTTGTATAATTCCTTTCTGAGGCACGCACATGAATTTTTCAGTCCGCACTTGTTTTTCCAACCACTGTATTGCCATCCAGGCCTTGGGATGAGTGTCTCTTTCCATGCTGAAAAATCTGTTGCTGTATGTGTGGTGGTCTGTGAAACTGGAGTACAGTTTTATTTTGTTTATTATTTTTTGCGCCCATGCATGATTTTAATTTAATGCTCATGGTTTCATCCAATCAAATCCCTAGAACTGGCAGCTGACATTCCTGTGATGAACACAGCAGGTGAGAAAAGATCATATGATCCCGCTTGTTTCTTTTTTTCTGCGGTCTCAAAACTGGTAAACAAAGCTTCTCTTTTCTAACCAAAGAACACTGTTTGTCTTCATATACGGTACATATTTTATTAAGCGGTCACTGTTTATAACCTTGTTTTGTCAAGTAGTCACCAACGAAAAAAAAAAAAACAACCTTAAATTTATTTTGAATTTCTGTACAGCCTAATCTTTTCTTTTAAGTCTAAGCTTCATCACAAGTTTAGCACGTGAAGAGATTAAAGATAACACAACAGTGTGGTGGTTGTCCATCTATTCCTTTCTCTCACTGCAAAGTCAACTTGCATTTGTTGGCTGGCATTGGTCGAATTAGTCAACTGTACCATCATTAAGGAACAAAAAAAATGTTGTCCTATACTACTTGCTTTACTAATGCTCAGCTAGTTGAAAATGGTGAACTTTGCTCCATAAGGTTTTCTAACTTTGCTGTGAAGTAGCTCATCTGTAAGGAATACTATTTTGATTCTCGTAGATGTTTGTGAACTGCTGACCTGCGGATTACATTAGATGTCACACCTCCATTGAAATAAGATTCTGAAACCTGTCAATAAGAATGGCAATAAACAGACCGTAAGCTTCTTTCCAAGAGTTTAAAAAAAAGGTCAAAATAGATTTGAACAATGCTTATAATGTGTTTCAGCCCTTCAAAAGTTAGGTTCATTCTGTGTACCAGAATTTCCTCATTATGAGAGTTAATAAGTTCCATTAAATGTAAGTCAGCGTTTTATGTGTCCTTACTTTTTGTTGTTTGTGTGTAATGTGAGCCACGCTATTGATCATTAACATTCATGGTGTTGTTTTACTATGTGTTTAAATGTTATTTATGGCCTTACCAGGTAATTGTATGGCAGACTGCTGTAAAAAGTAATCAGTTTTATGTCTCCAGTAAAAAAAGGTTTGGAAAGTAAAACTCTTGGTTCTGGGTGTGCTATTTTTACTGTACAATTTGCTTAATAATCTACACTGCTTGGAATATTCAGTATCAGATGAAGCATGACAGCAGTGTCCTATGCTATAATAGCAATTTAAAATATTCCATATGAGAGACCATTCTTCTCCCTGTTACTTTTTTGACACCTCACAATCTTTCAACCATTTACTCTTTCCTTAGTCTTTCAGTAGTACTGACCTCTGATGGGATTTCAGCAAGCTAGGGAGATTTTCATTCTTGTTTTAATTTTTATTATAAACAACAAATAGAAAGAAGACCTAAAATTGTGTTGAGTGAGCTGCTTCCAATTTTTACGATTGGCAAGTGACTATAGCCTACTGTGGACTGACTGTATCTGATATTTTTGTTTGAACAGCCGATGAGAGCACCAATGTCCAAGTTTATAGGAACTCTCGACTCCGCCCCCGGAGGTCTCAGGAGGAAACTGCGCAGGACTCCATGGAATACCCGAGTGATGAGGACATCCGAGAAAGTGGAGCTGGCATTCTCGAGTTCACCCCAGCCAAAGCGGGCATGGACATGACACCAGCCAACTTTGACTTTGAAACCAAAGATGAAAAGAAAAGGACTGCTACAGGTCTTTCAAGCTTAGCTGGTAAGGGGATATTTCCTCAGTGTTCTATACTGGGGTTTTCTGTATCTGGCAAAGTGATCATTCCGAGTTGAATACAGTTCTTGAACCTTATTTTTTGCCTTTAATAAACTGTATGTTTGTGCACATAAAATAAAAAGGAATCTAATGCTGGCAAGTAGCCTATGGTTTTTCACTTTGAGAACTTACTAGCATTCCCCAAGATCTTAGAGTCTTTTGACATTTAGGTTGTTGAATTTTGTGTAAATGAGCAATTGAATCGTAATTTTATTATGAGAATGCTCAATAATTTTTTTTCCTTCCTTTTTTGGGCCATGCCATAGACAGCATTGTTGTTTTTTACAAACCTCAGATCAGCTTTGCTGTTTATTTTTGTATTAATTTTAGCTGCTTTGGATACATTTGAGTGCATTTATAAGCTATTCTATGGTAGTGGGCATAATATTTCAGGATTTTTTCTCACCACTAAAGGGAGTCTTCCCTTGGTTAACAATTTATAAAATGTAATCAGTCAGACTGTAGCAAAGTGTGTCAGCAATGAAGCAGCTTCTCCACAGAACGTAATCCCCTCATCTGTTCCCCTCTCAGACCTCAGTAAAACTTTTCCCACTTGTTCCTCCAGCTGGGGCACTGTCAAGTGTCTCCAACACCTTGATGAACGTCGTGTCCAACCGCTACGAGGGAAACAAGAGGAGTCAAGAATTAGCTCCCTTATTGCAGGACCAGAATGCCAGTCCTGAAGCACATGTAAGAAAACTTACTTTTCCCTGACAGGTCGCTGTTGAATTGTAAAAATGGTTCTTAAATTTGTTTAATTTACTACAACAATTGATTTACTGCAGCTGTCAAAAGGGGAAAAGTATTTCTTCATAAGAATTTATTAAGATCATAAAGGAGAGTAAAAGTGCAAATTTATTCATCTTTTTTTTATAAGTATCCCAAAGTCAGGAGTATCTGGAGCTACAGTCTCCACCATACTCTGTGGTGTTTGGGGAGGCTCTTTGGAATGCTTTTCCTTAAAGCTGACCTTGACATGACTCAGCTCAAAATGAAGAAAAGGATTGCCATTAATTCAATTGATTTTATTAAATATTGTAATATCTTCCCTTTCATGTAGATATGTGAGGCAGCGTGGTGAAATCAAGCGCTCGTCAAAATAGTGCCTACAGAAATCGGAGAAATAGGCATTTTTCTGCCAGTTTGGAAATTTTTATAGAATTTTTATTTTTGGCTCAACCTCTTTTATGTCCATTTAAAAAAACGTTTCCATGTGAATTTTACTGAAAAATATTGATTAAAGGCCCAAAATATGTCATTTTTCTGTTTTCAAGGACTCTAGCTTTTGGGGTTACCAAACTTTGGTGGCCATTTTCTCGCTAATTTCACCACTGAAATTAGGGGACCTCACTTCCTTCTATCGCAAATATCTCGAGTTCTTTTCAAGATAGATGGATATTTATTTCATTGAAAGCAAGGCAAATAAATCAGCTTTCAGATGATACCAATAACTCCACATGTCCAAAAATTGACAAGCGCCTGATTCCACCGCGTCGTGACACATATATCCTTGATATTTCTTTATGCTCTTTCCTTTGTGTCTTACATGTCAAATCCCTCAGGAAGAATGGCCGTGAACAGTTCCCTTTACAGATGCTTATCATGCGCATCTTGCCTAGACTTCATGCTTCTATCCTCACCTTTCTCCACTAATTTGTTCTCCGCCTTCCTTTGTCCTTTTTACCCTGCGAAATCCATCTCAGTGTTTTTCTTGTCATCGACTTACTGAATGTTTGTCTGGTCTTTTTCAGCTTCAGCCAGCTGTTTAATACAAAAGGTTTACTTATTGTCTATTGCTACTATTGTCTAACATTTTATATCAGTCCCTCCTCAACTTCTTTTTTCTTCTTGACTATTGTAGTGATATGTTAGAGGGTGGCTAGGTACTGGTTAGCTCTTACTTCTTTTCTCTCCCTCTGTTGTTTGTGTTTATCTATCTTGCTTTTTCCTTGCTCAATATGACCATTGTCATATTCATGTGCTTCTTTTAACTCAACGTCTTTTTCTTTTACAGGTTTTCTTCTTCTTCTCAATTCTATCACGCTTGAAGTCAGGTATCTATCATATACTACGCCATCTTGCTCAGTTCTTCTGTTGGCACCTTTAGCTTCTTCTGTAATGTTGATAGGTTGGCCATATGTCCTGTCTCAGGGCTCTGTGTGTCCTGCATTGCTTGAGGATTGTTCCACAGTGTGGTCCGCTCCTCCACACTGGCATTTTGGTCATTGTACGACAAGTAGTTTAAAACATTTGCACACGTGTTGTTTGAGTAATATGTGTTGTTTTCTTAGTCTGAAACTCAAAATGACATACATGTTTTATCTGATTGTCCATCCAGGCAAGAGGTGCTGCCCTGTCCTGTATGCCCAAGTGCTCGTCCAGTATGACCTTACCCATGTCCAGCACCTCCAGCTACTCGCACTTTGACCCCCAAGGACAGATGATTATGTCCGTGCCAGCCCTCAATCAAGTCGACCCTGGACCATTCAGCCCTTCCTCACCCATGGAGGTGGAACGTAGACTCAATGAGCTCTCTAGGTACAAAGAATTGTTTTGATGCCCATACAATAATGTAATTAATTCAGGACTTTTGAAAACGAATGAGATGGAAATTACAAAATATTAATATTTGTATTTGTTTTACTGTTTTAAGATTGATACTTTGGAGTAACTCTCTGCCTGCGAACCTCTTTGTTCATTCTCTGCGGAACACTTTCGAAGGGGAGAAATCGCTATTTGAATGATTACAAAAGATGGAGGAATTCAAAATCAAAATTGTAAGACAGAAAATGTTGATTATCCTGGTTTTGTATCTCCATTTATTCGTACTAGAAGAGAATACACAGTTGTTGATTCTTGCTATCTCCTTTACCCAGCATGTATCTCCTTTATGGTCCTTTTAGAGAATCTGTTATCTTAACTTACCCGATCTCTGGATTTTCTCTCCTTTCTTTCCATCAAGTATGTATGCTATAGAGATGGTTCACTCTCCTAAAAAGCGTCCACACCAATCTATTCTATACTCGATAATATATTGTCACCACTGTCACTAGTAAAAGAGCTGTTTTAATTGTTTCAAATAGAACTTTTTAAACAATCTTAGCGCACTAACTGCTCTGTACATTGGTGACCCATCCTGGTGAGTTTATAAAACCTACTGTTAATATATTGAATTACAATGTATTTTACGACATGTAATTTGTGAAATACCTCATAAGTGTTGCTATTATTGTAGCACATTTTATTTGTTCCGAGTAATAAAAATGGTATTTGCATTGTTATTTTCTTTTATTGTGAAGATGTAGGAGCCGTCCCACAGATAGGATATATGATTACAAATGAGCATTTTGACATTTTGCCACAATGTTTTCCTTTTCCTCAGACAACTGACCCGATTGGAGCACAAAATGGGCTCGGACATTGCCCTTATCCTCCACGTGCTGCAGGCACAGGGTCACAGTCAGTTCACGACCTCCCCATCCACACCCCCTCCTCCCCCACCCAGAATGGCTGAGACAGATACATTCCCAAGTCCCCCCGCTGCAGATTATCATACCGTCTCTGAGTATCCCTCCCCTCCCCCTAGCTTCCCACCTCCACCCACAAACGATATGGTGAGTTTTTGTTGGAAATTTCCCTTTTATCTAAATTTGTATTAATAACAGTATAATATTAATACAGATGTTTGAAAAGGAAAAAAGTATAGTGAAGCAGAAATCTCTGCTCTATGTAATGTAATTTTCTGGAGGACATATCTTGCAACAAAGGAAAATCAGAATCAGATAATCTTGCACACTTAAGGCAGATAAAGGGTTTAAAGGTGTACTGGTAATAAATCAAAGATTGCATTGTATTTAGTCAGTGAAAAGGAAGTATCTCAATTGCAAGAGGATGCAAAAGATTGAAGAAATTACAAGACTAATTCATTTCCTATTGACTTAAACAACCAACTCTATGGCATTGCTGTTGTGACAGAAATTAATACTTATTATTACCCTTTCTGTTAAGCAGGGTCAAATGAATATGAAGTTATTATTTGATCGTAACAGCAATGATGTGACTTTATAGTAAAGAAGTTCAAACTGCTTCGTGATATTCTGTAAACTTGTAACAGTTATTTTTCTAATCAAACTTTCCCTGTCCTTTTCCTCAGACTGCGGTTGGAGGGATGGATCCTTCATGGTTGCCTCATTCGTCATCCTTGGATAGTTCCATGCCGCCACCTCCCCCTATATCTTCATACCCATTGGCCAGTCATTCCACGTACCCGACAGTGTCTCAACTCCCTGACCCTATCTCGCTCCCAAGCCTCCCCCCCTACGGACTGCCACCATCTAGCCAATCAGGGAGCTCCACTCCGACCTCCTCCAGCCTCTCTATGCTGAGTCAGCTGACCACAATAGACAGAGACAACCAATCACTGGCTTCCACAGCTGATTCTTCTTCTGTTCAGGCTTCAGCTGCAAGCCAATTACCCATTGTGCCTACGCCAACTGAAGGGGACTTCCATCTTCCAGAGGCTTTCCATGACCCGTACCAGCCTCGTATCGCTGGATCATCCGGGGAGACGGAGGGCGCACTGACTCTAGAGCAACGAAGGCAGTATGGTCTCCCTGAAGACTCGGATGATTATAATGACACCCTCGTGTGACACTTTAAATGTTTATATACATTCAAACTCGGACGAATGACTGCAGATGAAGAAAAAGCTAATGATGTGGACACCCAATATATTGTTTCAATCACTTATAAGCACCCAAATACAAATCCGATGCATGGATCCTGTGTACAGCTGTAATAATATAAACAAACCTCAATGTGATCATGTAGTGATATTCACTGTGAGTGGAGTAAGCGAGCACTGATGACTTTCTGTGATAGTTTTCTCTACACGGAGGACACTGCAGGCTGGCCTTAGTCTGAGACAGAGGATATGAGGCACGGCCCAATGCCCTGGTCAACCGGTCTTTGATAAAGCTATATAAAGGTGTATGATTTAATATATTATTCTTTCAAATGTCTACAGAGAGGTTTTGTTTGATGCTGTGGGGCACGTGTTAGCATGATTGAATAGTTTGAGCGCTGTGACTGTTTTAATTTATTCTTCGCATGAGAGGAATACAGGATGTGTGAGTTTATGAGGATGTTCTGAATACAATGAAATCATACTCATTGATAGTTCTTTAAACTGTTCAGGTTATCTTAACTTATACACATCTTATTACGGTTGTGAAGGCATAGTTACCCATGATACGTTTTGTCTGTAGATTGTTTTGAATAATGTGTAGGATCATATTTACTTGCTCATCCATGAATTGCACCTCACTTCAATGACATTGTTGGCGACTTTGATTCTTTTGGCAACCCAATGCTCATGTTCACTGACTGCTTCACAAGAGCTAGGATAGAGAGCTGCCAGTTTTTATGATAAAGCATGTTGTCCATATCATCTGAATGGTTAAAAATCTGTTACAAAACTGCAGCAAAATATTTGTGAAAAGTTAGCCATTTTTTTTTCGTGGCAGAAATGTTAGTTTTTATATTTTTATAATGCATTGTTGATAAACGCCCTACTACTGTCACCATTTCATCGCAAGAGGGAGGTTGTGGAAAATGTCTCAGTGATTTATTCATGACTGATGATAGATTCCGCGCATTTTGTTAAAACTTTTATTGGGGCCACAGAATGTTGAGTGCCAAAGAATCTAGAAATGTCAATGTTTAGATGGTAACAATTTGCTAAAACTTTTTGTCCATGGTCCTCTCAAAGCTCCAATTGTCTTCTCATAGTTTGTAAATGGGATGGGATAACTGATGTACACATGTATATGTGCTCTTGTTCATATTGTGTGCCTAAAATGGGTACAGAGACAAATGTTCCAGTTGATTTTTTAAATCAATGATGCTTGTATGTCTATGTCAATGCCTTTGTTTTGGCTGGTCCTACTGGGTTGGGTTTTTTTTCCCGATTGTATCAATCTTTTCGAACAAAAATTGGGCCACTTTATAAAGGCTGCACACGTTTAGTTGGTCTTCTCTCGCATCTTTTTTTAGCACTAAAGCCACAATGTTCTCAACTCTTTCATGATTATTTAAAAGATCATATTGCAGCCTGGGAAAGTGAGCAACAATACATACAAATCAGGGGAAGAAAAATGTCTATTCTATTCTCGTTCATTGTGATTTGAACAAAATGATGTGTCACAACGTGGTGGAATCAGGCGCTCGTCAATTTTTGGGCATATAAAGCTATTGGAATCATCTTACCGTGTTCATTTGAATTGCTTTTAGAAGAAAAAAAAAGAACCTGTCTATCTTGAATAGATGTCAAGATATGTGCCTATGAATGAAGTGGGAATTACCTTATGTCAGAAGTAAAATTAGCAAGAAAATGGAGGCCAAAATGTGGTGAATTCCAAAGCTTGAGAGTATTAGGATACTGCAAATTTACATTTTTTGAATCTTTGGTCAGCATTTCTCCGGTAAATCCTTATAGAAAGTGTTTAAATGGACATAAAAAGTGTGGATCATAGCCTTGATTTTATTAACCCTGGAAGCACACAGGCCCTTTATAAAGGGCATGAGCCTGGCTACCTGGGAAGCGCACTGGCCCTATATATAGGGTTGACCTACTTTGACCGGGAAGCGCGCAGGCCCTATATAAAGGGCATAGACGCTGACCTTTTACAATGGAAAATTTCAGTATTTCTTATTTTGGAAAATGACGTAGTAAATTACAAGTCAAAGCTATAAATAGTGATCAATGACTTTGCAAGTTATCTTGATCTCGTAGAGCGTCTCTTGGTCGAGATATCGATCGATAAAGTGACGCGGTCCAGCTGAGCGACTACACGCTATGTGTTATCACTTGTTTCGCCGTGCTGATATACTAATTGTTGAATTTATCACCTTTTGCGCTTTGTTTGTATTTATTTGATCGCTTATTATTTTTTAAAGTCTCATTCTATCAGCTTTAAGAAAAGACATGGTCTTTTATTATCTGTTGAGCCGTAAATGGTCATGTTTCAGTAACAGGTATACATCTCGGGTATCTCAGCTGGTATCCCCCCCCCCCCCCCCCCCCCCCCGCCAAACCCCCATGTTTACAACATTGGTCGTGGCGGTGGGGCATTTTTGACAGGTTACTTCCGGTGAAACGCTGAGCGCTTCTAGGGTTAATTTGACGGGCACCTAATTTCCCCATGATGCCTCACATATGGTTGCAGTGTCTCCAACTAAAAATAGGAATTTGAAGTGGCAACATTAACCTCTTCACAAGAGGGAAAACATTCAATTTTTGAATCAAATGAAACTAGATTGCAACTCCTTTCTTTAGGGAGGGGATCGGGCAAGATTTATGTTGGCATGGGACATGTCTTTAGTGATACAGAAAATGTCTGCAAATTCAAAGAAAGATAAACATTTTTACACATTAAAAGAAATTCTTTTATCTAGACTGGCCTTATTTCTGTGAACATCTAATTAGTTTTAAGTCGCAGAATTAAGGAGGGGGAGTGGACTTGATTATGAAATTGAGAATGTTTCTTTTCAGCTTTTATCATGTCATCTTCTGTTTTGTGGGAACATTAACATTTGTATGCTGTTACATCAATTTTTCATGTCTCCAGCCCTATCAATACATTATTTAGATTTGTCATTATATTTACACAAATCTGACTAATATGTAAGATTTGTGGATGTTCAAGCAATATAGACGATTTGATACCAAATCTGAGAAAATTCAGACGCTCTGTAAATCAATCACCACGTGTCTTCATGGCAGAAATTACATATCTTGAAGCCAATGTCTGTAAACAAACTGGTTGTCAAGCTTCTAATTGAATGAAACTGTTATACAATGCTATGTAACTTGATGAGGATTTTTTTTCTCAGATATGTGTGTAAGGTGGAAGTTACCCTATGGAGTGGTCCACTCATCTCTCCTTTGTTAATTCTGGGAATTTGGTTTTTATTTCTACGAGTTCGGTATGTGTTTGCTGTGCTACTGGCCACTGATGCTAGTACTTTATTTATCTCTCTGAATGGTTTTGTACAAAATGAGTTTCCCCTTTTAATCTTTCCATGTATCGCAGAATGACGCATTACTAGGATTTTATACTGCATTCGCCTTTTTGGGGTTTAGGAATGAGCCGAAGATGGGGAAAAAAACTAAGCAAAATTAAACAAATGGCAGTTAAGAGCAGCCTGCTCTAAGTAGACCAGCTATAACAGCTCTTGTAAATTAGAGAAATATCTCTGTCTTAATCCCAGTTTTTGAATATTTAATTTAATGCGACTATGATAAAACTAGCTTAAAACAGGTCCAAAAGTTAAATGCTTGAAGCTTTTCGAACTGGACTCTTCTGAAGTCTATGGTTTTTCATAAAACTTTTCTTTTTTTTAAACTTTCAAGACACAAGTGTACCTGTATTTAATTGCGTGTTCTGTGCACTGACTTCATACCTGAATTGACATGTTTGTAACTGCAGAGCAACAATAATTTATAGTATTACCATTGTGTTTCAGCTTGAGCGATGCTGTTGAATCATTCTTGACAGTGTGTTCAGTTTCTGCCTGGGTGGGAATGAGCCATGTGTTCAGTTGATACCAGTGCAAGAGGGATTAATCAATGCAATTTCCTGTTTCTGTTGGGGTTTTTTTTTTTGGTCTCGTTCTTGTTCGCCTCTACTATTTAAGTCCGCATCTGATCACTGCCCGCTCTTCATCCTCATCACACACCTTCAGTATGCTCCACACAGTCTGTACTGGTAGCTATGGTGGACGTGGTCATTCACATATCACACTTCGTCTCATCTCAAGTGGGTTCATACTTATCATCTAAGCTTGACTGTGTCACATCAAACTGTGGTCTTTTTCTCTATACGTAGCGCTTCCTATGCAAAAATAGATTTAAAGACTTCAGAGATTCAGTGCTTGTCTTGTGTATATAGAACTTTATACCAATTTGTGGTTTCTCTTTCTTTTGTATGGGCCTTGGTCCTGTTATTGTCTACTTGTGTACATTTATTTCTTCACACACCATGCTAAGTTTTATAGGTGAAAATGTTTTCCATTGTTGATAAGCAGAAATTCTTTCATATTGTGAATAATGGTTAAGAAACTGTGAATTTGTTCAACCGTTTAATGACTGAAATAAAAAATGTTCACACGAACTTGTTTGTTATTAGTGATAGCTCATAATAAATTTTGTTTTTAATCAGAGTACTTGGATTTGAACAAGGCTTCCTGATCAGAACATTTCCAGCTGTAAACATTGATTTCTTTCACTTTCACCAACTCATAAGGAGACTGCAAGACTACATTACTGCCATAGCAATGTAGTCAGCAGTATTTTCATTTGTTTATGAAAGTGGAGAGTGAGAGCAAAAGTTTGTTCGTTTGTTTTAGTTTTAGTAGAGGTTCTACGGTGCTCGCAACTTCATAAGGTCATATGAGCGCTAGTAGATTTAGAGTTGTTACAAGAGAGTAACAAACATAAAAAGGAGGGGAGATAAGGACGATAGATGTTTGATAGGAAAGAAGAAGCAGACCACACCAGAGCACCCGCCAACCATGTACAGTAAGAGTTTTACGGCCCTTGCAACACAAAGAAGTCAAAACATGCAGAAGATAAGAGCACCCACCTACTACTACTACCCACTCAAATCATTTTTTCACATCGCTTCTCTCCCAAGCACTGCATTGATTCATCATAACAGGTCTCGCCCATAATTGGAAGACATTTTATTAGAAATAAAAGAAACAAACGTAATGATGAAATAAAATCGAGTTTAAACAATTTGACTGTAGTAACAGAACCCACACCTATTGAAGTACCAAAAGGCCCAGGTTCTTTTTTTTTTAGTTTTAATAAGTTTTACGGCACTTGCAACACAATAGGGTCATATAAGTGCTGGAGATTAGAGGTGTTACAAGAGAGTAACAAACACAAAAAAGAAGAGAGATCAGGACGATAGATGCTTGGTAGGAAAGAAGGAGCAAACCACACCAAAGCACCCGCCAACCACAAACTCATTTTTGTTTGTTTTAGCAAGAGTTTTATGGCACTTGCAACACAATGAGGACGTTTAAGTGCCAAAGATTAGAGGTGTTACAAGTAAAAGAGAGTAACAAACATAAAAAAGAAGGAGAGATCAAGACAATAAAGAAGAAGTTTCATAAGAGTTTTACGGCACTTGCAACACAATAAGGTCATATATGTGCCGAAGAACAGATGTGTTGCAAGAGAGTAACATACACAAAAAAGGCGGAGGAGAGATAAGGACGATATATGTTTGAGAGGAAAAAAGGAGAAAACCACACCAGCGCACCCACCAACCACCCACATCAAGGCGATAGATGTTTTATAGGAAAGAAGGAGCAAACCACACCAGAGCACCCACCAACCACCATCAGGCCCAGCTTTACAAAATAATTCTGCGCACAAACCCTTCTCAGGAAACAACAATGCCACCTGGTCGAGAATTCTCTCTTGCACAACTATTATTATCAAAGAGCTCATTTACACAGTAACAAAATCCTTTTTGTTTTTAGTAAGAGTTTTACGGCACTTGCAACACAAATAAGGTCATATAAGTGCCAAAGATTAGAGGTGTTACAAGAGAGTAACAAACACAAAGTAGTAGAAGGAGGGGAGATAAGGACGATAGATGTTTGATAGGAAAGAAGGAGCAAACCACCCCAGAGCACCCACCAACCAACCACACACAGTAACAAAAGATTTATGCAACTTTGTAAAAAGACAGAACACAACATGCAAATTGAGGCACAAGAATCAACAGATCATCATAACATTCTTTATTATGACAAAGTCTTACACTGTTCTGATACACTCGCTCACTTCTGTCATTGTACAAACGCACAAACAACGTATGTTTTCACGAAGAAAAAAAAAAGTCATCATCACTGCACATTGTCGAAGGAGCTTACAGCACAGCTTTCATATCAGCTACACACTCTGTGTCAAGTCTATGTATATGACTGACATTCACAAGCACCACATAACACATCAAACAGCACACACCAATCATTTCTTGCTTCAGAATTATGCCACAACCACTTTAATTGACATTCACAGTGACCATATTGGAACATTATGAAGGGGAATGGGCCAGTACCAAATTGAGCTTGAAGTGACACAAAAATATGACTTAGTTTGTTTTTTCCTTTCTTCACCAGTCCCCTCTTCACGTCAACCTCTATGCAAGTTGATATAATTCCACAAACAAAATTTCAGAAACAAATCCTACATGTATCCTTCAATTCACTTTGGCAGTTTGTAAGAAAGATGATTTCCAAAAAAAGATGACATACAGTTTGAAACAATTTTCTCTCAGCTATGAAAGGTGTAAAACTTCTCGACATCAAAGTAATTTTTTATTTCAATTTGATTTTTTTTAATTGATTCTTGGGCAATTTTTTTCAAAGATTCTCATAAAAAAAAGCTCAGTAAATTATTTTTTTATACCTTCCCTACATCATAACAGGTAAGGATGAGGTTTATGAATATGCTTTTACACAAGGTCATTAAAATAGCAAGCAGAGATGGACCTCTATAATATGCTGATCAAAACCACCAGCATTCACTCATGGTAAATCGCAAGAAGAAACAAGACAAGCCTTTCCTAAGTGTCCATCAGTACTGTTCCTTTCTGGAAAAAACTTTCTAAAGTCTGAAAAGTATCTTTAGGAATACAAGATCAGAACACCTAGTCCAAAAGAACTTCTTTGAAGACAGGAGGCAGGGAAAAGTAGGGAACAAAACAAAGTTTCATATAAGTATTGAACATGTCTTACAGTCTCGTAGTTCTCTCCACAAATTCCAAAAAGGTAATAGTGATCATATTTTTTATTTGTAATTACATGCTTTTAGCCTGGACTACAAATAACTGTTTAGTCTTATTCTTCCTCTAATGCAAATGCTATGGTATTGGAGAGCAATGGTTTTGACAGAGCAATGTAGTCATCTTGAAGCAAGTACATGAGAAAGTTTCCAACTAAGCCATACCAGGGCGTGACTGCTTTGAGAGCCCGAAAAAGTTCATACATCTAGACAAAAACATATATGGCAACACAAGGAAACAAAACGAGAAATATGAGGTACTTTGTCAAAAAAGTATATCGAAATCTTCGACTACTTGGAAATCAGTTTGACGACAAGCATTGATCAAAATAAAAGTGTTCCAGCAACTACTATAATGTTCTATTCAAAGAAGTTGCTGATTGATTTTAGAACTTTGTAAATGTTAACATTATCAATACAAGATGTCATCTACCACTGCTGACTTTCATCGACATTCTTAAAATCTAGTCGCACCAGTGTATCGGAATGTAAAACGAGCCCAGAGTACTAGAATGCAGTTATACACATTCAAATAAGATGACATTGTACCATAAGTGATCATCGCTCTATCACAGATTTTATGAGAAGTGAAAAAGAAGACCTCACATGACTGTGCATACAGTCGACACTTCAGGCAGATCTATGTATACGGCACAAAGGAATGAAAAAAAAAAAACAGGTGTTCTAACATGCTGTCACAGCTCCCAGTACATAGGCACTTCAGTTCATGCATCAATCACAGTCACACAACGTTTAGTCTGACACGCAACATAGAAAGGTTTCAAGATCGTACCATGTTTGAAAATAAATACCAAAAACGATGAAGGTATCTGTCATCGAGACATTTTATGTGGCAAGTTGGCACGATAACTGCCACATTTGGCTTAAAGGCGCAGGGAATCAGCACATACGAAGAAGAAGAAGAACTGAAACCCCTTACATATGGGGTTGAAAAACAAACCCAATCTATGGGACTTTTTAAATCCTCACCCTGTGAAGACTGTCACTCTTTGTACATTAAAACCTTTTACACACCATGATAAAAGAATGCTGAGCAAAAAGAAGGGTGAAATAGCTGAAGGATAAAAAATACAACAAGAGCTATCAACATTGCCCTTCCATCATTCCCAGTCCATTCAACATTTTCATTTGTCCTTACCCTAAACATTATTACAATGAGAAATGCCTCAATATATCAAACCCTGGTGATTCTCTCCGGTCTGTTAATTCCCCTCTCATGCCATGACAGTTCAACGATTTAATGAACTGACAGATTCACCATGCATAAAGTGATACACATCATCAGACACACAATTCAACATACATGCTTTGACTAAATGAAGACAGTCCTGCATATGGGTCCTGTAACACAATTTAAATGTTCAAAACTTGTTGAGAGGATAAAAAGTACATACATGATGTACATGACAAATTCAGTGACAGTGGTTATTATCTATAGGTAAAAAAAGCACTTACATCCTAAAATAAACCATTTCGTATGAACGAATTAAACCAGAAAGTATACTGAAATTAAATATTTATCTCAAGAGAAATTACCCTTCTTTTAGGACCATTTTAGTGACTTTCTTCAATTAACTTTCAACCGCATTGTCATGATGTACAGCAAAAATTGTATGGCTGGCTGTCCAATCACAATCTTTTTAATGCAGCATTATGTTCCAGATCTTATAGAGCATCATCAGCTCATGCATACACACAACAGCAAAAAACTCATGCATACAAACAACGGCAAAAACCGCAATCACACAAAATGAGATAAATACCCAATTGCAATCAAGGCAAAAGCTACAGCACGATTTTGGCCGTCATAGAGAGGCCGGTTGGAAAGACGAAAAGTTACTTGGATTTCCACTCAGTTTTGCATAAAAACCAAGAGGAAAGCTCCACCAGAGGTAACTGCTAGAACTGTGAGGAGACTAGGCCACAGTCTCGGACAACACGGAATTGAGGACTGCATCTGCTACATGCAGGCTGTTAGTATACCAAGTGATCCTCCACAGAGGGACACTTCTACATTTAATCGTCAAAAAAAAAAAGACTGCAATAGATGGGAGGTCTCCAGAGGAAGAATGTCGTGTACAATGGCTACAAGAAAAAAGCAACTATTATGTAGCCAAGTGGATATATAAAACAGACCGGATATCTACATTAAGGCCAAAAACAGGATATTTTCTCAAAGCCCTCCCCAAAAAGTGAAGTTTGCTGAGAAAAAACAGGAGTCACTTCAACTCCAGTAGATTAATTCCTTATCCCGGAAAGCCCCTCCCAGTAGCTTGCGGTCAGAACCCCTGTGCCAGTGAGCCGCTGGCAGCGGTTCAGTTACATTCCTTTACAACAACTTCTACGTTATGTTAATTTTCAGCAATAGTCGACAAAAGGTCTTCCCTGCTGATAGTTCTTTGATTAGGTGAAGATCAATCAGAATAGGTTCATCATATGTTTTGTTTAATTACAAATTTAGTGATACATACCCCACTCTCAGGTTGTGTGCCAAAAGAGGGCTCTGGCAGAGTGGGGAAAACTCCCTCCGGAAATAAAGAGTTAAGATCATGAAGTAAATTGACAGTTACAAAAAAAAAATAGGAACAGAAAACCCCAATGGATTAGCTTGAAGAAATTAAGACATATACAGCTACGTGCATGGCATGTCTTACTAATGCATTATATCACGTCATTCACCATCGATGGCCATATGGTCTGACAATTGCAATAAGAAAAAAAATCTGGTTTTACGCAAAACCATTCAGGGAGTGTCCAAAAGCAAATAAACTTGGGACAATCCTAAATATTCAGGGTACTTGGTAGTTCCGATAAAGCAAAACCAAATCCGCACAGGGAAGTAGGCGTGACTCAGGACCACAATATATATACATATTAGTGGAAGACAAAACACAACGGGTTTACAGAGCTTCAAGCAGAAAGCCATGAGATCCACCGGAGAACATCCACTGCTATGAGATCAGACGCGTTCAGTCGCTGTCACTGTCACTACCAGACTCGCTGAGGGCAAGATCGTCATCCAGAACTCCAAACTGGCGCATCTGTCCAGGAGGTTGAGATGGGACTGAGGGGAATAAAATACAGTTGAATAAACATTCGAGACGAAAGCTTGGCAACTGTCATATCATTCCACTTTCAATTTCAAACACTCAAATCCTCTTCTGAAAGTGAGAACTAAGCAGCCCTTTGATGAAATGAACAGGCAGTTGGCACACAAATTTTGAAGTTATCACACTAAGCTTTCATAAATTCTACAGCATACATGCTATTCATCTTGTCCGAATTATCAAAGTTTACTATCTATACTTTTCATTTTTAATCTGTTTTATAGAGTATATCAGTCTGTGCCGAACATTTAAAAAGAGAAAATAGGTAACTTAATTACACATGTCATTGTGCAGTTCTAAAAAAGTTAGGACGGTGTAGCTGCAAGCACAAAAAATTGGGCCAAATGTGTTAAACTGACTTCTCTAATACTTTTTTATCATCATCCTTCCAACCCCCAGCCTTTAAGAATAAAGAAAAACTATCACTGAATGTGTTGAACCACTTTCAACTCTATTTTACTACAGAAACGCCCGGTATTCACCTTTCTTACTCGAGGTAGCCTTTGGTGCTTCATCTTCATCAGAGCTATCAGTTATTTCTCCAACAAGGGCGATATCCTCTGCACCTGAAATTTTAAAATATAAAAATTAATTCTCCAAATGAAATATACAGCCAGACTCTTATTAAACTTCACTTCTAGTACTAGCAGAATGAAAGTAATGACAACTAGATAGCAATTTGCAACATGCTCAGTTCATCTCACCACATTCCTGTGAAGTTCATGCACACCACAGCATAAACAAAACAACAGCAAAAACTATGACCAGACTTCAAGGAACAAATAATACATTCCGCTCTTAAGAAATTTCAACTGCAGTCCTGGGAGGTACTGGGTAAATTGAGTTCAGCTACTTTGCCAGCACAAGACTTTGAATACTGCCTGTACCCGTAAAAGATTTACATCAGAGGCTAAAGTTGTAAGTTTGGTGTCTCGCCTGCAGCCTTTTTTTAATCAGCACGCACAACACTCCTCCTCCTCCCCCCCCCTTCCCATTTCACACACTCAGTACACACAACAGGACTCATACCACAAGCCTAATGTACTGCACGTTGGTGACTTTTTTTCTTTTTTTTTTTCTGTATGTGTGTGTGTGGAGGAGGGGGGTGGAAGAGGCCAGCAAAAGCTGTCAAATGCCTTTGGCTGCTTTCAAATCTGATAAATACTAGAGATACAAAATGCAAGTGTGTATGTGTGTGGGGGGGGGGGGGGGCGGTTGGGTTGTACATGTGCACATGTATGTGTGGCCTGCTAGCCCAGCTCAGTTTCAATGGCACAGCATCCACTGTACTAGACATTTGGTGCCAGCACCTCCACAGTAATCTACACCTGGTGCAGGGAATGAGAAAGCCTACTGTAGTACCAGGTACTAGGTACCAGTGTCTGCCAAGCCCTAGTCAATGCGATCATTCATGACAAAGATGGAATTACAACTTTTAAACACAAAGAAAAGAAATCGCAAATAACTCAAACTAACCAGTAAACTTTTACTTTTACAGCTAAACAAAACCTCAGTACATTTCAAATCAAAGTTTCACAAGACAAGCTTACTCACCCTTCGAGACTTCACTGTGAATGGGAGTGATGGAGAAGTTATCTCCCTCAGGCGAGTTCTTCTGACTAGGTTTGACCTTGGAAGGTGTGGAGGAAGACGTACTGCTCTTTTTTTCCACAGGGGTGACACGCCCTGTGCTGTGCTGCAAGGCTCTGCTACTGCTTTCCTGCCTGGGAAAGACGAGAAATTTGGTAAAAAATTAACAAGAATTTTAAAAAGCTTAACTTGTTAGAACAGGGAATGGAGTGTTGCCCTTAGAGTCATTCTGTGAATTTTCAGGAGGCCAGGATATCACATGAACAACATTGGGAAAATCCAAGAAAAAATCTCACATTTATGATACACATCTTGCTAAGCTTATAATTAATGAAGGTAAACATTTGATGACAAATGATTTCAAAAACTGAAAGGCAGACCTTCTCACACTGACTGCAATGCAGCTTGTTTTTTGGGGCTTTTTTTTAGTTTAAAAAAAGCACATTAACAAAATATGGCCATTTACTACTGAGATAAAAACAAGAATTTAAAAATGCCAGACGGAGAGTAATCAAAAAGAACTATCACCCCTCTCCAATCATCTGTTCTCCACCAAAGCGTGGTAATAAATGCTGTACTTTTATTGTATTTTGTAATAACTATTCAACGAAAAATGTAATTCAATTTTAGTAGGAGTTTTACACACTTGCAAGACAAAAAGGTCATATAAGTGCCGAAGATTAGAGGTGTTACAAGAGAGTAACAAACACACAAAAGAAGGAGAGATAGAGACGATAGATTTTTTATGGGAAAGAACGAGCAAACCACACCAGAGCACTCGCCAACCACCCACCGAAAAGTGTACGCCCTGTCATTTATCACAAAATATGACAATGAAAATGAGCAGAAGATAGGTATACAGTAAAACTTTTACTAAAACTTTTACTAAAAGCCTGGTACACAAGAACTTCTCAGGATCAGAAAATGTGTTTGTGTTAAGCAGATTTTCTCTTAAGCTGACAGCTAATAAAAAGAACAAAAAGAGTTCATTTTTAGTTTTAGTTAATAACACACGCAGAGCTTTGGAAACTGAAAAATGGGAAACATCATTATCAACCTCAGAATTACGCCATGACCACACAAAATGAGGTTCAAGGGCAGCTGCTTACTTGATGAGTTTTCCACACGCTACTCACTTTAAGAACAAAAACAAATGACAAAACATGGAATTGATAAATCAAAGGTCTATACTACACATTATAATGAAGAACTTTAAAAGGAAGGTTTCCATCAAACTAGCAAACTAAAGGTGACTGGCAGCTTCCCAGTATCTTATTTCCCTCCCACGAAACAAGGGTGGGGTGGGAAGGGGGGAGGGGGGATATAGGGGAGATTATATTGTCTTAGCCTACAGAACACACGTTATGTGACATGTCTTGACAACATTAGGCAACTGTGAGCAAAAAAAAACGAAAAGGAAAGTGGAATTGTCAGATGAAAAAAGAATGATCAAACAGCACAAAATTCTTTTGTCTTAGTTTTAGTTTAGTTTTGAAGTACGGCTATGGTCAGGCTAGTCGCCTATCAGCCGTTCGTTGCTTTCATTGCTTTTTCCTTCCTGCTCGTTGTTTTCACACTCTGTTATCTGTAGGCTGGTGTTCATGGATCTGGCAGTTTGAAACCAGTCTAGGTTCATGGAGAATTTATGTGCCTTCCAGACCATGTCAACCCTATTCTTGAAATTGGCTGGAATTTTTATATCATCCTAAAGGAAGTTGCAATGCATAGAATAAAGAAGGAGGATTTGAAATCCTTTCGACTCAAATTGCTTCACGTTAAACAAAAACTACCGTACCTGGTTTTCTTGACAGCTATTTTACTGGTCAGCTTCTCCAGAGTGTACGTGCCTTTTTCATGATCAATTATGAGAACACATTCTTTCATTAATGGTTGCTTGTTACCCTTGAAAACAGTGTGGGATGTACCAGAACTCTGAAAATAAACAACATTGTAATTTAATCACCTGGTATAAAATGAACTATTTTTTAATGTAATAAATCAAATTACAGGAACAAATGCCCACATCAGGTCAACAAAATGGCAAGACTACCCTGGTTAATATTAATAAGGATAATTATAAACTTTCGGGAGAAAAACAATAGATACCACAATAAACAAGCAACGACACCCCTGTAGCAACGACAATGTAAGAAATTAAAAATCAGAGGATTGCTATTGAGAATACTCAACACCAGATAAAGAATGTGTATCTACAAACAACAGAAAACATTTTTTTTTTCTTCCCTCCCGTTATTCATTATTCATTACTGCTCAAGTAACTGAACATTGTAGAGCTACTATCACACATACGGTCAGTAGCAGCTTGAAAAATTTTTAAGAGACGAAAAGTCCTGTTGAAAAAATACATCACCTGCTATAAATCCCCCCCCCACAATATACACAAAACAAAGCAGTCACCTCCACATGTGGCACTGTCACCGTGACTTGATTTCCCTTGCCCACCTCCACGCAGGCTTCCTGGCTGGTGTCCACGGACGCTGGTTTAAAGTCATCTGAAAAGAAAAAGCAAAAACATTGTCATTGACAAATAATTTATAACATAGATTCTAGATCTAAATCTAGATCTACATAAATATATCAGTCTGACTTCAAATCAAATTCACATGATATAAAATAAACCACACATTACCACGATACTTCGAAAAATAACAATCAACTCGGTAAATTTTTACTTTAAAGCACAGAGCTGAGCTGTCCAGCGTATGTTCTCTGAAAGTAAGTGGGCTACCACATACTCACCACTCAGTTTAGAACTTCAATATTAATTATTTTAAAATTTTAATGTCACGACAATGGGACATGATGATGAGACGAGAGTCCATCAGCACTGAGACATCATCATGCATGAAACTGCTGTCCTGGCTAATGTCATGAGCTTAGCCAAAAAGCACTGCTGACAGTAGGAAAGCACTACTGACAGTAGGAACGCACACCCTCTGGCATTGAAGAACAAGAGGATAGAATTACAGTAGCCTACTGTACTTTTTCATCGATCTGTAGGCCTAGAGTCTACTGCTGCGTATCAGTATCTTGACTTACACCGTATGGAGTGAAATCCTACTTTCGAGTTCGGATCAAAGCTGTTCCCCAATTTCAACTTGTGAACATCGTTGTCAACTGGTAATGACATTCCTAATAAAAAGCGTACGATATGGTGAAGAGTAGAATCCGCTCTCGAGAATGAAAAATAAGTCAGCAACAACTCTTCCTTTCCATCTGTTACGGTTAACCAGCCTCACTCAGCAGAAGTTCTCTTTCCTCAACTCACTCATGCAACAAAAAACTAAACTCTCCACACTGAAGACTTGCACGCACACCAGTGCAACTTTTGCAGTGCGCAAAAGATTTGCTTTTCATGGATGCCAGGTATATTATATTTCACCGCACCTCGCTACGAAATTTATTAAAATTCGGACAAAATAAAACAAATATCCCCTCCCCCCCCTCCCCCCCCCCTCCCCCCTCCCTCCCCCCACACAAACATTTTTTAACCCAATCTTTTAGACTCTTGAGAAGATATGATTTCTTCTAAGAAAAAAATGCTTTTTATTCCTCTTCATCATCCTCATTGTCAATCACATAAATTAATGTAATGTTCGGAGGGGATTGTTTTTCGTTAGTGTTTGAAGGTGGCTCGCGACTGTACGTATAAAGTCATAATATGAGAGCGCTCGCGGGACTCATTTAAAGAATTTTCAGTTTGGTAGGAATTAATTTGGAATTTTTGCTTGGGTGGTGGCCGAAGCCTATACACTCTTAGCGATTTATAGGACAACCAAGGCGATCTTTAATGTGCGCAACTTGCACACGGGCCTCCGGGATTTTTCCGTCCTTATCCGAATAGGCAAGGTGTTAGTTAGATCTTACCTACCCTTGGTGTTTTCTTGTACGCTAAGTGCCTACCCTAAGATCACGAGTGTGGCTGAAAGACAGCAGTAATTTAAGAAGGCGCCAATTGGTAGCAGTCAAGGAGTTTACAGTAAATAAGCTCCGTATTGGTACCGTAGCAGTAGAAAGGCTAAAAAAGAGCCAGGAGCCCAGAAGAGGCGGCAGAAAGTGAAGACGAAAGCAGACAATAGAAAAAGTTTAGAGAACAGGAAAAAGAGGTAAAAAAAAGAAAAATTTAGAAGAAAAAAAATTCCGTCGCTAGGACTATCAGGTTTCAAACACAGGACCCAATTGAATGCGCAGAGGTGAAAACCGTACTTCTAGATCACGACAGCCCCCCTGAAGGAGGGTCCCTCTACTTAAGCTAAATGAATATTCAGTTCTCCAAATGACTTCAATCTTTTTGTTGAGGTTGATTCTATATGCTGTTTCTTTTGTAATAATAAGGTTGAAAACTAACGCTGCTCGTCTTCAAGGGAGATCAGAACAGCAGAATAACAACCGAAAATAGAGGGATTTGTTGAAAAAGAAAAAAACAACAACAAAACTGTTTCCCGGGTCCAGCTACGTTTGGGAACATAATTATAACTTGCCCCAAACAAAGCCCTGGAAGTTTTGACTGGTTGCACAATGTGCAGCAGTGAAATTGAAATGACGTCTTGAAGGCGTAATCCAATTCGGTTTGAAAATTGCCAAACTGGCAATTTTACATTTTTTGTCAAATTCAAGAAACGCAAGAGAGAAAGAAACAAAACAAAAGTAGCATTTTTATAACTTTTGGGGGCTGGGGGGGGGGGGGGTTGACTTTAGCACAACAGCACTTTTTTTTGTTGCAATTTTAAAGGTGTCAGCCAGTTTTTAGTTCTTAAATTTCGACTACAGTATGCTGAGACAGAAGAAGAAGAAGAAGAAGAAGAAGAAGAAGAAGAAGAAGAAGAAGGAGGAGGAGGAGGAGGAGGAGGAGGAGGAGGAGGAGGAGGAGGAGGAGGAGGAGGAGGAGGAGGAGGAGGAGGAGGAGAAGAAGGAGGAGGAGGAGGAGGAGGAGGAGGAGGAGGAGAAGAAGAAGAAGAAGGAGAAGAAGAAGAAGAAGAAGAAGAAGAAGAAGAAGAAGAAGAAGAAGAAGAAGAAGAAGAAGAAGAAGAAGAAGAAGAAGAAGAAGAAGAAGAAGAAGAAGAAGAAGAAGAAGGAGGAGGAGGAGGAGGAGGAGGAAGGGGGAGGGGGAGGGGAGGGGAGAGGAGAAGGAGAAGGAGAAGAAGGAACGAGAGAAGGAGGAGGTGGAAAAGGAGGAGGGGGGAGAGAGGGAAGGAGGAGGGAAGAAGGTGGTTGGAGGAGTAATAGAACAAGTTGGTAATGCCCAAGTTTCAATATGAATTTTTTCACTATTTTTCCACAATGACGATGATAAAAAGACCGATGAAACGTATTCACTACAAGGTGACGTGCAAACAGCAAAACTATGCGTGGACATCGTACAAGGTCGCTTGAATGTAAAACATGTCGATATTAGATTACTATAATGTTGTGTTGCTATGATCTTTAAATGTATTTTGTCGTATGTGTCTAAAACCCCGTTTATCTGAATGATCCGAGTCCTCTAAATTATGTATCGAAATGACTGTCGAGCCAAGTTGGTGAATTCCTTTGAGAAATCTCCTCAAACAAACCAAGTTCAAAAAGATTAATTAATTAATTAATTTTTTGAAAAATAATAAATTCCATTTATATATAGCGCATTTCCACAAAGAAGTGCTCAATGCGCTGTACTATATGAATAATACATAAATATTATATGCAGTGCACAGCTCCTATAGTAATTCTCTCTCTCTCTCTCTCTCTCTCTCTCTCTCTCTCTCTCTGTCTAGTGCATCCTTGAGTAAAGACAACCCCACAACGCTTACCCAGACACCCTCGCACACATTAAAGATTCACACAGTCATAAATTCTTACAGAACAGAACAAAATGAATAAACGATACTGAGAGAACACAATAGATGCTGAGAGAACATAATAATATTTGTATTGGGAAAGTCGGAAATTACAGATTGAAGCTGGATTGAAACAAATGCGTTTCAAGTGCTGATTTAAATTTTGATAAAGTGGTAGACTCCCGTAGATGAACTGGTAAAGCGTTCCACGGGGAGGGGGCGTGGTGTGAAAAAGCTCTCCCTTCGAGTCTCTGACTTTTGCTTTGGACAGGTCTTAAAAGTCTTTTCGTTGCTGATCTTAAAGGCCCAGATGGTTTATACTCGATGTCCATGCCATAAAGATATGATGGTGCAATGTTGTTGACAAACTTAAAACAAAGAACAATTATTTTGTCCTGAATTCGTGCTTTCACGGGAGCCAATGTAGTAGAATTAGCATTGGTGTTATATGCTCTTTGGGAGATTTCTTTAAAATTATGCGAGCAGCTTGGTTATGGAGTCGCTGTAACCTATTTAACGTTTCAGTGGGAAGGTTTCCAAACAAAGAATTGCAGTAGTCTAGACGTGAAAGGATAAAAGAAGAGATGAGGTTTTTGATGAAATCAACACTAATATATATAAATTACTTTACATAGATGGTTTATATGATTATGCATAAAAAGTTTGCAGTCAAAATAAACGCCTAGATTTTTAACTTTATCTGTGAAAAAGACGATATCATTCCCAATATATATATGGTCAAAATTGCAAAGCAATATCCCTGGTTTGGCATTGCAAAACAGAACTTCGGTCTAATCATCATTCCTTTTAAGTCTGTTTGATATCATCCATTTTTTTACCTCAACAATACATTTTTCCATGCTTGTTACTAGACAATTGAAATTTGTTGGTAAAACAGACTTGTACGCACAGCTGAGTGTCGTCCGCGTACTTGTGGTAGTTAACGTCGTGCTTCCTAATTATTTAACCTAAGGGCTTTGTATATAGTGTGTATAAGAGTGGTCCGAGCACGGACCCTTGGGGCTCACCAAATTGCAAGCTGAAAATGGATGACATGTCACCGTTTACAAGTACAGACTGTGTACGGTTAAACAAATAGGACTCAAACCATTCAAGAACAATCCCAGATAGGCCGAAGCTATGGCCTAACCTCCTGATCAAAATTGAATGATCGATGGTATCAAATGCAGCACTTTGATCGAGTAAGACAAGAACAGGCACTTTGCCTTCGTCTGCTTCACAAAGGGAGTCATTCTGGGCTTTTAAAAGTGCACTCTCTGTGTTATGAAACGCTCTGTAGGCCGACTGATAACATTCTAAAAGATTATTTTCTTCAAGATGTGCTCTTAATTGAGATTGAACAACTTTTTCAAAGATTTTAGACAAACATGGTAGGTTAGAGACCGGCCTATAGTTCTTAAACTCATGCGGGGAAAACGACTGTTTCTTTAGTAGAGGTGTTACGACTGCGTGCTTAAAAACACGAAGGCACTGTTCCTGAAAGAAGTGAATCATTAATAATAGCAGTTACAACATCAATAACAACGTCAAGATGGTTGACTAACAAAGGTGTCGGGACAGGATCAAGGCAGCAGGACTTCCGTGGTGATGACATTATGATCTCTTTCCCTGAGTCCTGTGAAACAAGTTTAAAATTACATAGGAGGTCCCCGGGGAACTCCTCGAATTCAGGTGCAGATGAACGGTGTTTATCTAATGTTTCTTATTGTAGCAATGTTTTCCTCAAGTCAAAGAATGTTCCAAAGTTATTTGCTAGCTCTCCTGTTGGAGAAGCACGGGGAATAAGGGCAGATTTAGATTTTCCACAAAGTGAATGAACAAAGCGAAAAAGACTTTTAGATGTTTTTGACTTTGATATAATGTTATTGTAAAAGGAACGTTTCGCTACGATTTTAAATTCTTTGACTTTTCCATGAAGTTGTCTATAGATGTCCCTATGCACAGTGAGTCCTTGTGCCCGCCATCTCCTCTCTGCTTGACGTCGCTCCGCTTTGCCTGCCTTTATCTCTCCAGCGCCATCCACGGCGCCGACGGTAGATCTGTAATAGTTCTAGATCTGAGTGGGGCGTGTTGATCAAGAACACCCTAGCCATGGTGTTTTAACTCTGCCTTGCATACAGATGACACTGACAGGACTCTGATAGCATCGCGTTGAAAATCAGCGGAGAATTGGTCATCGTTGATGTTCTTTAAGATCTATTGAGGATTCGATTCAAGGTCTTCTTTTTCGTGGACCAGCATGGAGAGTGTCTTCTATGCTATCAAAATTACAATAATGGTCGTCTGTGTCTGTTGAATTTGAATACGACACTGAAGCTGTGGTCTCAGAGATGATATATAGTGCAGGTGATTTGAACAGCCTGAGACTTAAAAGTGTCCCAGAAATACGCTACCTTAGAAACTACAAAGTTCCATCTGACATTTTTGTCAGTTTAGAGTTACTAAAACCATCAGAAACCAAATTATGATCTACCTGCTCTATCAAAATCGTAAGATTTTTCGGAGTCGTTATCAAGATACCCAAAGAAGTGGATTCGAAAAAAGCTTGACATTTTGTGAAACTAAGAGTCTTTCACGTCAAATTTCTCTAAACGAGATACTGAGCCGATAGCACTTTATAATTCTAGGGTTGTGAATAGTATATCTGTTGTCTCTACTTTTGAGGACGACTCTCGGTGCCATTAGTTTTCTTTCACAGTAGAGACACTTCGTCGTCTTGTCTTCTTCAGAGGCAGCTGTTGCTCGGGGGGGGGGGGGTGAACGACCTGAAAAATGGCCTGATTTAGTACTGTTCTGAAAGCTGTAGTGGTTAGGATCCAGTCTTTTTAGTTTTTAATTTAAGAAGAGGTTTTACGGCGCTCGCAACTGTATAAGGTCATATGAGCTCCAAGGGGTAGATGTCAACAGGGAATTAAACTTACCCTGCTCACCTCTCTAGCTTCAACAGCACAAAGTCTGCTTCGACTATCAAGGCACCCCGGAAAAGCGGGTAACAAGAGTGTGACAAACATACAAAAGAAGTAGAGGGAAATGACGATAGTAGGGATTAGGAAAGAAAAAAGCAGCAGTTCCCTGTTGTAGATCAGGCACAGTTATGAGCGTGACATTGTTGGATCAGCCCATTTACAATTCTACTGTGCAATAGAACGAGAAATGCCCCCCCTCTTTGGGAATGGCCAAAAGATACTACAGTCGGATCCAGTCTTTATGCGTAGACAGGCAAGCCGTTGTCGAGGATTTACTGCTTTGATTCATCCACTGATGTCCAAGACTGACGGGACTCACGTTAATTGCGGGGTCGAGGCAGTTGGAATTACCTGGAAATATCTAGACCTACTACTATTTGGGAAAACTGGAACAATTAGAGTTCACAAAGCGGGCAAGGGGTATTTTTTGTTTTGTTTTGTTGGATTTTTGGGGGTTTTGTTTTGTTTTAGTTGTTTGTTCGTTGTTTGATTTGTTTGCTTGTTTTAGTTGTTTGTTCGTTGTTTGATTTGTTTGCTTGTTGTTGTTGTTTTTTCGGGGAGTGGGGGCAATTTAACATCAACACAGTAGGTCTAACTAACCTAACAAAGAATTATAATACATGCAGATTGTGACATTTGTGGCATACATTTAGGACCCTATAGGACCCTAAAATTGAAATAACTTCGAAAGCCCAAAAGTAGATACACTGTCTTAGAAGCGCCCGCTGTCTGCAGCTGACCCAGAGGCCGGCCAATCAGTTCATGAATGATCAATTTATGTAAGCCAAAACGTCACGCCTTGTTATTGCCCATTTTGTAAATTCATTTGACGGCACATCTCTCTCTCTCTCTCTCTCTCTCTCTCTCTCTCTCTCTCTCTCTCTCTCTCTCTCTCTCTCTCTCTCTCTCCCTCCCTCCCTCACTTCACGAAAAAGAGCTCGTAATCCAAAGCACTTCTCTAGAAACAAAAAAAAAGCTAATCAGGAGAATAGATCGGTGTACACCATGAAGCAATCCAATCTTTTTGGTGCGCAATCAAGTCAAGTATTCTTGGAAACGCACCTTTCTGAACCAATAATGTTTATTAATTAATTACCCACATTATGTTGACCTCAGCTGTCTGGAGCTGAGTGAGAAGTAATGTGAGGTAGGACTAAGGTTTGGACTGAACTCTGAGACTGAAGAACATCAGCTTCTTTCTTGTTGGGAGAACTGGACTGAAACAGGTACGAAAAATAATTTTTTGCAGCCCCTCAACTTCTAAATCTAGATCTATGAGAACTTCTGGAGGGGATGAACTTGAATGTAGAATCTAGATATAGATCTAGACTAGAATCTAGATAATCTAGATTCTAGGTCTTCATGGATAAACCTGAGTTGTGTTTGTTTAAATTAAAATTCATTAAATTCGGTTAGATCAACGATCTTGTATTCTACCATTTCACATCTTTCGTAAAGGAGAATTCACATTTACGTTTAACTTCTGAGTCGTGCTCGGTTGTTTGTGTAGAGACAGCACACGAGGATTAGATCTAGTGACAATTAATGCAGTTTCAAGGACACTTGACTCGACATTAGAATCTAAGGCTTTGAACGGCATGCTCTCACTGGAAAGATAGCAGACAAAATGAGGCAGGAGCAATCCAATAGACACTTATTTGAAAGACATAAACAGACTGGTGACGAGGAAACACTAGGAGAATGTGGGATTTTTAGAGCAACGAGAGGAGAAACAAATGGAAAATCCATGATCGCCTGTATGTCTGTTTGAGATCTGGTACTTTATGATGATGATAAGGGGATTCTGACCCAATTATAGACCAAAGCGATCTAATTTACATGTACATCCAAAAGCGACCACAACTTCTTGCCATGCTTCCTGGGGGTTTCAAGAAAGACTCGAGAGTCTGGCTCCACAAGAACACGCACACATTCCAGAAGAGGGCTCCGGTGGCGGACGGTTTGAACCCCAACCCCCTCACAGGCAAGGATGACGCCTACTACGACCCAGGCCAGGAGGAATCCCTTCGAGAACCTTCCCCTCTCATCACAGACGCAAGTGGCCGGGTGTTCAAGAAGGACAGCCGAACCTGGCTGCACAAGGTACTGCCTCTCGTACCGTTTTAGTAAGAGTTTTACGGCACTTGCAATACAAAATAGGTCATGTAAGAGTTGGACTTGAATTTCTATCTTCGGTTAAAAACCTGGGCCAGGGCTCTTTTTGGTTTTTTGTAGTCTTTAGTAAGAGTTTAAGGCCCTTGGAACTCAAATAGATCATGTAAATGTCCAAGATTAGGGGTGTCACTACTGAGAGTAACATACAAAGAAAAGAAGAAGGAAAGATCATGGTGATAGATGTTTGATGGGATAGAAGGGGCTAACACGCCAGAGTACCCGCCTGTCACCCGCCTCTGGTACTGGTTGGTTGAGTGAGGTGTTTGTTACGTGTTAGTTTAACAGATTGACTGTTAGCGAGATCTATTTATTTGGTGATTGATTTGGCTAACTAATCAAATTTTAATGATTCATTTATTCCATCTCTTGGTTATTCTTTCAGGAATACGGTTTCTTAAAAATGCTTTAGCAGTTCAAAGTGGAATCACTTACATGATAGTGTGACCCAGTACTTATGCGACAGACTAGAACTTGATTTTCTCAGTAGACCTTTACACGATATAGCCAATGTCTTCTTTGCATCATTTTGGCAGTCTTCTGTGCGAAATCTGGCCGAGTCGGTGACTTCCGGTGCCATCCGAATAGCGTCTGCCGCGAAGGCAGCTCGACGTCTGCGGGGCAATACGCAGCACGTAAGTTGTGAAAAAATACAGAAAAGTTTTACACATGTTAGACTTTGTCCGATGGGGCAACTACTAAAGCACATACACCAAAATTGAATAAATAAATAAATTATGAAATTAAAACTAATAAAAATAAATAAACAAATAAATAAAATACAATAGAAATAAAAAATAAAACAAAAAAGTAATTAGATTATAAATTTGTCACACTTCCATTAACACATATTATTTACCATCGAGGCGACGGGCTGCTTAGACCTTGCCTGGGTCAATCCAGGCTCAAAGGACTCCAGCGCCTGAAAGACGGGGATACTCAAAACCGTAGTAAGCTTCCCTGCTCGGGAATCGAACTTGCCTCTTTTTCTTGCAACCACAAAATACCCTACAACTGCACCACAAGATGGTCTTTAAAGAGGGCTCATCTTTTTTTTAGAAACCACCTGTTCCTATGTTTCTATGCTAAATTAGAAAGACAAAATGGACAAGTTCAAATTAGGTATTATGAAAACCAATTGTGGAAATGTCCTTTGAGACTTTACAGCAACTGATTTCGATTTGGTTCTATCAGAGAAGGACACCAAATCAGAGCACCAGTTGAATAAGTTCACGAGGAAGACTGATATCATATGCCAGGAAGACAGCTTCTCCACCTTTTCTTTTAAAATATGATCCAAGTGCGGGAGTGACCTTCTGGGGATCACTCATAGAATCTGGACTGTCTACACCACATTCGAGAATGATATTAACTGAGCTGACGAGGTATCCACGCTGGTGACTGTGAATTAACTTTAGGGACGACCTTGAAGTGGGAAAAGTTGTAGGCCTATTCCTGAATTAACGCTACTGATGCTAATTATAATATCTTCTTAATCTATAAAAACGAACAAACAAGCAAACAAACAAACGAACAAACAAAAAAGCGCTGCACAGGCAGAGACGTTGTATCGTTACCGGCGTCTCTAAGGAAGTGATTAGGCTCTTCATCGTCGCAAACAGGAGACCCGATTCTTTTTTCTTTTTTTTTGGGGGGGGGGGGGTAAGTGTTTTACGGCGCTCTCAATTGCATAAGGTCATGTGAGCGCGCGGTACACATTAAACTTTTTCAGTTGGTAGGAAATTTTGAATTTTGCCAGGGTGGCGGCCGAAGCCTACTCTTATCGATTTTAAACCACCAAGGGATCTTTAACGTGCACAACATGCACACGGACCCTCCGAGATTTTTTGCCCTTGTCAGAGAAGGCTAGGTGTAGATATTTCCTACCAGAAGATCAGGGGTGTGGCTGAAAGACAGCAGTAAGAAGAAGCCAAGGAGTAGCAGTAGAAAGGCTGCAGAAAGAATAAGGATCCCAGAGGATGGGGCAGAGGAGGTGAGGGCAGAAGGAGGAGACGAAGGCAGACGACAGAACATTGCCAGAGAGCAGGAAAGGAGGTTAAAGGAGACAATTTTAGAGAAGAAATATTTGTAGGTGGCCGGATTCGAACCCGAGATCTTTGAATGAGAGGCCAACACCTTAACCTCTAGGCCACGAGAGCCCCTGACCTGAGTCTGGTTTCTGTGTGTGGGGAGAACCTTTAATCTCAAACTTTCTGATGGGATGTTGACCCCATTTGGCTCTGACAGGCAAAATCGAAGCTCACCTCCAAAATTACATATAATCTAAACTGTGTCGAAGGGGGCGTAAAACATTCACATAAAAAATGTATCGTCAAGTATGGGTTCAAAGATGCTTTACCTCAGTATGGTTATCAAAGGCGGGTATGATTTCCGAAGGAAATCCTGTCTCTGTTGGGACTGACTCAAGTGGCTGGGGAGCCATGACGACAACTCTCAGAAACACCCAGAGTTCAAGAACACTTCTTTGGGATGCGAACCACAGTCTTCCACGGCATAGTCCACCATGATACTAGCTGTACTAAGAAAGCTTACAACAGAATAACGACATGTGTTGGTCTTCTATGGCATTGTCCTGAATGATGCGAATTGTACAGTGTGCTCTAGCAGGGACATCAATAAAGGAAAGTTTACAACAGAGTAACGACACATGTTGGTCTTCCATGGCATAGTTCAGAATGATGCCAATTATACTAACCAACACTCGAGCAGGAACAAAAAAACAGGAACGTTTACTACAGAATAACAATCTGTGAGGGTTCCTCGACAGCCCCTGGAACTCTGCACCGGCGACGTCGGGGTGCCTTTGAGGACTGGGCTCGTGCGCACGCGCAGTAGCACAGAAATGGTACAAAATCGGTCCAACATGGCCAGGCAAAGGAACAAGATGGCACTAACAGAAGAACAAGCTGACCTCGGCAGTAAGACATGTGACGTAGTACAAAGGGGTATGCTCTATCTGCGTGTTGTGTAGTTCTTTTGTTTCTTTTTAATCGAGTGATTGACTGCATGTTTGCTTTTAGGTTCGGTCTTCAGTGTGTTTGCACCTTTGAACTTTGTAGTTTACCTTGCCTTTTTTATGTGTATGTCTACGTTTGGCTGATTGTTTGTCTTTCAACTGTTTTTTGCAAATTTGCAACGTTGATTTAATAACCCCCCCCCCTCCCCCAAGGGCAGTGCTACTGACTGAAGTGTAATTAGGCCATTCCCAGAGGGGGGAATCATGTCCGTATGCATACTAGAATTGTAAATGGGCTGTTTTATCAATGTCATGCTCATTCTGTGCCGGAACAACACCGGCGGAATTGCTACTTTTTCTTTACTCATCCCTACTATCTTTTTTGTCCCTCTCTTGTGAACTGCTGTTTCTGGGGTGCCTTGATAGTCGAAGCAGACTTTGTTGAGCCTAGAGAGGTGAGCAGAGTAAGCCTGATTCCCCATTTGGACTTTTCTGTTGACACCCCTTGACGCTCATATGACCTTATGCAGTTGCGAGCGCCGTAATATCTTACTAAAACTAAACCAATTTAATAATTGTTTGTTTGTCTGTGTAGATTAGTCGTTTTCTTCTTTGCTCTTATTCTCTGCTGTTTCTTTTATAAGTTTGTCCAATCGTTTGTTAGCAAACGTGATGACATCTCGTTACTTTGTTGTAAGTGATCAGGGAATACTACTGGCACTTCCTACTTTGTACCCAAGTGTTTGTATCGTGTCTGTAAGTGGGTAGTTGGCGGGTGCTCTGGCGTGGTTTGCTTCTTCTTTCCTATCAAACATCTATCGTCCTTATCTGCCCTTCTTCTTTTTTATCTTTGTTAATCTCTTGTAACACCTCTAATCTTCGGGCGCCCATATGACCTTGTGCAGTTGTGAGCGCCATAAAACCCTCTACTAAAACTAAACTAAAGTCGCTTCACAATGCAGGTAGATGGCGCGGACTCCAGTGTACACTGTCCGTTCTGCTTCCCTTTTTGCTGCTATTATTAGAACCTTTTCCATTCATAATGAATAGTTTCAAAATACTGTGTCGATTTGTCGTGCGAAATTGTTTTTGTTTAACGCCCTTCGCAACACGGTGAGGTTATTTAATAGGCGGTACCTCCGAATTGAATGTCCGTCTCCGATATGACTGGGCCAAATAGGAACATGATGCGTGTAAGGTGCCTGTTCCAAGGACATAGGTACGTCGGACCAGGCTGAGCCTCAAAGCTATCAATCTCACGATTACCAGTCCGGCAGCTATCCTCTAGACCATCGACGTCACCTGACTTGCTGTAAACTATGTACCTCTGAGCAGTTTCAAAGCAATAATAACGACCATAACATCATCAACAAAGACAAGCATCATCTTACAAATTCGATCGTAGAGAAAAATATTTTCATGTCGACGACTCTATTCTAAACAAAGGTACGATTATTTCCTTTTATTTTAGTACATGTAAGAGTTTTACGGCACTTGCAACACAAAAAGGTCATATTATAAGTGCCGAAGATTGGAGATGTTACAAGAGAGTAACTGCCACAAAAAGAAGGAGGGGAGATAAAGACTCTAGATGTTTGATAGGAAAGAAGAAGCAAACCACACCAGAACACATGCCAACCAACCACTAATTAATTCCTTTAGATCTATCCCTGAACTGGTTTTTGTTTCGGCAATCTACCCTAACTGTCTATAGTCTCAATTTCTCTTGGTATAGGTTGTTGACGGGTACTCGGGTGTGGTTTACTCCTTCCGTCCCGTCAGATATCTCTATCGTCCGTCTCTCTCTCTCTCTCTCTCTCTCTCTCTCTCTCTCTCTCTCTCTCTCTCTCTCTCTCTCTCTCTCTCTCTCTCTCTCTCTCTCTTTTTTTTTTTTTTTTGTATGTTACTCTCTGGCAACACCCCTAATCTTCAGCACTTGTATGACATTATTTGTGTTACAAATACTGTAAAACTCCTACTAAAACTAAAAGCCTTCCTGGCCACCTCAAGCCCCCCCCACCCCACCCCACCCTACCCTACCCCCTAAATAAAAATGTCCCCACCCACCCCCACCCCCGGTTTCTGTAAATCAGGCAGACGACACAAGGGTGTTCCTTACCATGGCATCAAGATTGTGACGAGAGAGGGAAGGGAGATCCTGCCATTCTCCACTGATTACTGTATCGTGCAGAAGGTTGGAGAGTTGGGGGGGAGAGAGAGAGAGAGAGAGAGAGAGAGAGAGAGAGAGAGAGAGAGAGAGAGAGAGAGAGAGGGGGGGGGGAGAGAGAGATAAAGAGAGAGACAGAGAGAAGGAGAAACAAAAACAGAGAGAGAAAGACGCGATGAAATCATTGCGGGCTAGATCTATATTGTTAAGACTGCACTGGGTGAAATTTAAAAGGGAATCATGGTTATTAAACGTCTGTCATCATAACACATCTTTGTGAGACACTGACTTTTCTCCAACTACCTTCTTCAATTATTTTAGTCATGAGGAGACTTTGATCTCGCAGTAAAGCGATATATGCAAAGTTTTACGTAGAACCAGGCTAAAAAATGTGATTTTACCAAGCGACGAGTTGACATTTTCCTAGCCTGTGCGAGGCCTTAGTCACATCATGCAACTTCCGCGTTATTTTTTTTTTAAATTAATTTATTTATTTATTTATTCATTTATTCATTCATTCGTTCTTTTATTATTTATTTGTTTATTCATTCGTTTATTAATTAATTAATTCATTCATTCATTCATTCATGTATTAATTAAGTAATTCGTTTATTTATTTTTTTATTAACTAATTCTTTTATTAATTAACTAATTCATGTATTAATTTTTCATTTATTCATTTGTTCATGTATTCATTTATTATTCATCTGTTTTATTAATTCACTAGAAAGCGCCAAGTCGCACTCACCAAAACAGCAGCGGGTCGGACACGGACATGGACGAGTGTGACGACACCGATGGCTACTGTGGCGACGAAACGACCAACGAAGACGAGAACGACTACAACGGAAGCGACAGATCGCCCGAGAGGTGCACGCGCTCCGCCAGCGGTTCTCTGTCCTGTAGCCCGGACGTAGTCGTAGGCTTTGGCGTAGGCGCATGCAGGGCGATGTACACCAACAGCGCTGTGGAGGTGACCAGGGACGGGCTCAGGCAGCTCGAGAGGCTGATGCAGCAGGTTTGTTAAGTTCCTATCTCTTTACCTGTCCCCGTCGTTTTACGCAAGAAAAATTCTGAAATTATGCAAAATGAGCCCCAAAAAAGTGAAATTATGCGATTCTGTTAATTTTAACAAAGAATGTTGAAGGAAAATAATCAGAAATTATGCAAAAAATGATCAAATTTGGTTAAATTATGCAGGGTGCATAAAACCACGGGGACAGCTTTACTGTAATAGACAGAGCTCGGTTGTCTTCGTGCTGCCTCTTGATGCCTTTTGTTACCTTTTGCTGCCTTTTGCTGCCTTTTGTTGCCTTTCTCTGAATTTTGTTTTCTTCTTGCTGCCTTTTGCTGCCTCTTGTTGCCTTTTGCTGCCTTTTGCTGTCTTTTGTTATCTTGTGCTGCCTTTTGCTGCCTTTTGCTGCCTCTTGTTGCCTTTTGTTATCTTTTGTTATCTTGTGCTGCCTTTTGCTGCCTCTTGCTGCCTTTTGCTGCCTTTTGTTATCTTGTGCTGCCTTTTGCTGCCTTTTGTTGCCTTTTGTTGTCTTTTGTTGCCTTTTCCAGTTGATGCCATTGTGGTTGTCGTCATCGTCGTCGTCGTTCTAGATATTGATGTTGTTGTCGTTGCTTATTAAGGTTGTTATTCTTGTTGTTGTCATTGGTGCTGCTGCTGCTATTGCTGTAAGAATACAACCACTGGGGCACAAAATGACCCCAGGGCGTGCATATAGGGTTAATGCTGTTTTGAGTAGCAGTGATGCTGGTTATGTGACCAGTATTGCTACTGTCAATGTTGTGGTGTTGAGGGTTTTGCGCCAAGCGCCAACAAAGCCAATTTAGCTATTGCCCGGTATCCAGTGGCATCATCAGTTCGGTTTTGTCGGTTTGGGACTAGCCAGATTGCCCTCCGTGGGAGAGGTAAACCCAACAAACCAACAAAACCAATGATGACCTTCAATGACAAACGGGTGTGTTTTCAAGGCCGCGCGTCTTGTGGTCGGTTTGGGCAGTTGGCCTTTTTATAGTATGCACTGAAGCCACTCACTTTTAAGTTTGCTCCGAGGAGTAGTCAGGCGTGTCTCAAACCAGCTCCTCATGGAGACAATTAGC